TACAAGAGTCTGAATAAAATAAAATTTGGACGTCATGTGTTATGCTTTTGGTACTTTCCTTGCACTCACAGCACCTACATGAGCAAAGATCCAACCATTGACCATCACTCCAAGGGAGCTGCCTAAGGTTAATCATTTCTTCTATACTGCTTAAGACCTGACTGAGAACACCTACTGTTTAAAGAGGCCCACCATCCAACCATTATTCTACCACCTAGATTTGAGCACAGATATTTTTACAGATTTGTGCATTCTCACAGGTCAGATTTAGCAATAGGTTTCGCATTGCTCTCTGTACACATTGCAACAAGCTGAACGACTGTATAAAAAACAAACCAATCCTGCCATAGCAGTAAGTTTTAAACACACACTGTTATTATCCAACAGACACAGACATTTACTGATGCTGCTTAGATTACCCACACTAAATTCATTTACTTTCATTTAAATAACCAATTTCAGCCTGGAGCTCAAATAATGAATAAAAACATGAATGCACATAATACCAAACCTTGTATTAATGTTTTTCTTTGTTTCAATTATTATTCAGTGCCTGTAAGTTTGTTCTAAATGCGAAAAGCAGAAATTCACTTAAAACATATTCATTGTGACGGGTTTTCCCACTAATGCCTTAGAGTAGGATACTAGAGCGGGGGAGGATTTTAGATGTTCACCACATAGGGAATAGCTACAGACATAAAACACAGATTCAACAGTCAGACCCAGCTCTGCTCCTCACCAAATAGCACATGATTTTCTGCATAGCCTAAAAGAACGGTTTTAAAGAAAAACACCATCTTTACATAAAAACAGGATATAGGTCCAACATGCTTCCCATATGCTCATCCAACATGTCTTACTTTTATTAGTTACTCCACATCTTTATTTTTACTTGTTTGCATTTCTAAATCTACAATTCCTCCATTTCCTTTGTTGTGGGTGTGATGAATATCAAAACAATTATCACATTCTCCTGCATACATTCTTTCTCTGCTGGGACATACATTAGCTGGAATGTGCATGACTAGCATTACAGTCAAGAAAGGAGGATTCTGTACATATCACCCAGGACAAAAAGCAAAATGTGAGCAGGGCCTGACACAGCGTACAAACATGAAAAGGGGTAAATAAATGTAACATATATTATTTACCGTAAGTGAAAACCATGAATTCAACAGCTTTAGTGGGACACCCTACCTCTATGCAGAAGGATCTCATCATACAGCCTACCTAGCTACTACTACTAAGCTGAGAAGATCAGGGTTATACTGTATGAACCATTCCAATGTAGACTTCTCTTCTGTTCCCACCCCCATATGGGCACCCGCCCTACTTCAATTTACTGTAGTTTGAAAAGATGCTATCACTGCACAAAGCCAAGTAAATCACTTCTGGAGCATGGAGATACAGGGTCCCACGGGTGTCAGTTGACCTCCCCTTTTTTTCTTCTTTTTTTATATACATGATCCAACTGCAAATTTACTAGTCAGGGTCTTTGTAGTCTCTGGAAAGGTAAAACAGCCACAAAAATGTTGGTAGCCACTAGCCAGATACCATGTGAGCTAGGCTTTAAAGGTTTTTAGTATCATAAGAGGTAGCAATTTGTATTTATACTGTACTGTTTTACACCAAATATTTATGTGACTTGGAGTTCTGTGCCCCATGGATTTATGCAAATTGAGAATTGTAAATTTGATCACTGACCATGGAACCACCCTCCACTAAACTATACTGCCCACCCCCCATCCCCTCTAGCTATTCACACAGTATATTAAAAAAGTGTCCCAAATATATGCAGTGGTGGTCTTTACATCTGGAGAGGATCAGCAGACTCAAGCAAGTAAAATACTTTAGAAGTTTATTTTTTTATAAGTAGCTTGGAGGTGGAAGTGGGCATGTTGTACAAACAGGTGGGGGTAACATTTGCCCAAAGATGGGCTTTGGCGATTTGAAGGTCTGCTACCATGGATGTTGAGAAACATATACCTTGGAATGAGAACATTTGAATACCCTTAATGGACCGTTTATTGTATGCGCAATGCAGACATGTTAATAAACATTCTCCCCCATCAGAGCCAGTGGCTGCTATCTCTCAATCCCAGGTATTAATGACAGTAATTCTCCACTGATGATTGGGAACCAATAAAATTGGGTGCAGATCGTGTAATCACTATGTCAGCTCTGACATCGTGATTGCATGTAGGCTGAAGGCTCCACTCACTCCTTAGGCTGCAGATAAACACTGCCCACTTTTAGGCTGCAGTGTTCATCTGCAGTGCCATCTATTTAATAATTCAATTGTCAGATACAGTGTTGCAAATAAAAACATTTATATATCCTCCAAAATCTGTATAAAAATGATTTAGGCATGCAAATGTAGTCACAGTTATTGTTAACTGACATGCTAAAACTGCTAAATTTCTCTTGGCCATTCTAGGCATTACTTCTGGTCATGAAACGGTTAAATCTGTGCCTTATTCTGATTTAATGTAACGCATTTGTAAAAATGTGGGTGATGCCTAAGCTGTCATTTAGGGATGTTCAGATACCAAGTACTGTACTTGGTAACACATACAAATACTCATACAGATACTTTTCCAGCTCCAAGACTAGACTAGAGAAAAATTCAAAAGTTAGGAGGCCGCTGTAATTTGTAAGGAGCATACGGGGCTCTTGGGATTTGTGCATCCATGTTTTATTGTATCATTTGTTTTTATGAATATATAAAAGGGATGCACAGATACAATTTTTCCAAGTACAAGCACTGATACTTGTCTAAGTACTCACAGATACAAGTACTGATACTTGTCTAAGTACTCACAGATACAAGTACTGATACATTTTTGTTTATTGTCATGTGACAGTTTTTCTAAAACAAAACAGGCTAATGATTTCAGGACAGTGCTGGAGCGCCAGAGCTAGGTCCCAGCTGCAACCGCTGCAACCCTGGTAGTTCTCATGAAAATGCCAAGTATCGGCACTGGTATCTGAACATCCCTACTGTCATTACATCATATGACAAGTAAATCTGTAAACCAAAGGAACACACATTAGGAAAGGTCTGCATAGTGCTATAGAAATTGGAAATCATGTTTATTTTTTTCTACTGGGTGTTCTTTTGCCTTTATCAATGAAGCAATGCAAGGAGCCGGTAGGATGTGCTAAGTGAGTTGACCCATAGAAACCAATTATACTTACGTTTGCAGTAATCCGATAAGAGATGAGTTCTGATTGGTCATTATTATGGCTCTTTGTAGGGTCTTAGGGAATATAGTTAAAGAAACGCACTATATTCTTTAACAAGCAAATTGCTGTCCGTGCAATCTAGGAAACGTTAAAAGCTTCAAACAGATTTTTCAATTAACAGGCAAGACATTTCCATGAGCAGGAAACTCACAGCCACAATAATAATATATGCCACTAATAAAAAACAGCTCGGAGAGCTTGCTAATCTGATGGAGAATTTATTTCCAAATATATCTCAAGATACTCATGAATGCACTCTTGCCGTAAAAATGCAATCACTTCAAAATTACAGTCAAAAACTAAATACTGCATTTATCATGGCCATCGTTCATTCCACTGATGCAGAAAGACATTCTAAATGGGGGAAGCTCTTACACAGCTTTCGGCAAGTGGCAACCTCAGTAAAGAAGAATAACATTATGCACCAGATCCGTGAAAAAATGTTGTATCTGTCTCTTACTGCCAGGTATGAGAATATTACATTTTGTTTAGTGTAACTCCAGGGAATTGCAATCCCTTCTAGGTAATACTGCAAATATTTTTGCAAATGTTTACGCAGCCTTAAATCTTTACTTTTCTGTGGAAACTGCTGTTTATTAACCCATGTCTTTTCTTAACAAGTATTTTAAATGCTTACTTGCAGGGTTTTGCTTTTCATAAATAATTGTTAATTAATATAAATTTTATTGCAATGTGCCTTTGAATTGGCTAGAGAAATTGACTATGAAGGGAAGAGTCCGTTTCCTAGCACAGCACTCTCCCTTCTTGCACATCATATAACTCTCTTTTTCTGGGAGTGCATGACTCCCAGGGGCAGATGCAATGGGATTTGCAGTTTCATCACAGCTTGAGTGCTAAAGTTTGGCTACCCCTGCTGTGTAGAGAAAAAATGGCTGCAGTAACCAAACTAATCCAAAGGTAACTGCCAGCTATACTGTATATGCTTACAACAACCAGGAGAGGAGCAATGCATGAAGATATTTATTTTTGTATTTACACAAGCCTTAAAGTTTTTAGGTGTAGCCAAAACATTTTAAATGTTTTGGATAGAGTAGGGAAGGGTAAGAAACCCCACCAGGTATTTTTTTTGTCTCTGTTTACCATTGGGGAAATTTCCCTTTACTTCCTGTCCAGAGACAAAACAGCAAGGTATTTGAAATCTCCGAAAGTTGGAGGAATTCCCCTCTTAGATAGTTGTCCCTGGAACAAGTGGAATATTTACCCTCACCTCTGGTGTTGGGTTTCCCCTCACTTTCTGTTTGAGTAACATTGGCCACCAGTACAAATAGAAGGGTAAATCTCCCTAGAAGGGACTCTGAGCACAATACAAACTTGTTTGGATTGATGGTAAACTCAATGCACCTTTCATTTCGTCAGTGTCTCCATAAAGTCCTATGTTATACAATAGGACTGAAGCTAGTACTTGGATATGTAAAGATCAATGTACAAAGTGCTCTACAATGATGAAAAGAGGGTTATCATTGGTTGTTGTAGGTTAAAGATGAACTTTGAGACAAGCAAATATTGTCTAGATTCAAGAGTCATGTGTATTCTTTCCTATAACTCGATTCAGCAGTTATCAGCCAAAATTCAGGCTGTTGGCGGTCAGCTCAAGCCACTAAACTTTGGCACCATTCATGTGACATTTTGCCTAGGTAAGTAAGTCATTTGCTTTACTCTTTGTGCTACAGAATGTCCCACTTTCCCTCCATTCCCTGAAACTCTGGTAAAACATGCCTGAGAGTGATACTTACAGACTGACATATTATGGGATAGCTGGTTTGGTTGATTCCCCCAGCAAACACAGCAAAAGTGAGAGCGGTGTGGAAACAGAAATTGAGCAGCATGTGCCATCCTTTTCTACTGATTCGAATAGTGCTGCAGATGGAAAGAGAGACAGATTAAGAGTGGGCACACAGTGATACAAAACAGACTTCATTATAAAAATAGTTTACATTTTGTTTGAATTTAGAGAGCAGACAAGCTGTGCAAGCATTGCAAACAGCCAAACTGAACTATCATTACAGCCTGCAAAGTTCCTAGAAACAACTTAGCTTATTTAAAGTATATGTATAGCCTTTCAGTTCTGGATAGAGCAGTCTTTGTTGTCTTGGGAAAAATTTATTTCACTTCTTATCTTAGAGACACAACAGGAAGTGAGGGGAAGTCTCTACATAGTGAGGGTAGTTCCCCTCCTGGACAGTTGTCACAGGAACAGGTGTCCCAATTGGAAACTTTCCCCTCGGCTCTTGTTCTGGTGACAGCTGTAAGATTTTGGATTTCCCATCACTTTGTCTTGGTGAAAACGGTAACCAGGACAAATAAAGTGAGTGAATTTTCCTAAGCTGACACACAAGACAATTTTGGCTATACATACACTTTGGGACAGCAAATTGTATGTACTCATGGGTTGACTGGGCAGGGGGGCATTTGCTAAAGGCCCTGAGTGGGGATACAGATACATGTATGTACTCCAAAACTAATTGAATCACAGTACGATTAGACTTCACTGCTGTGAATGCAATCAAAACTGCAGCAAACATGTTTAACTGATGAACACAGAATTAAATGAGCACTATATTGTAATAATATTTATAAACACATTGGGGGGGAATTTATCAAAACTTGAGCAAACAGAATCCGGAGCAGCTGTGCATGGCAACCAACCTGCTTCTCTCTTCAGTTTTGTTCAGTTAGGGTATAAAAAAGATGGTTGGGTGCCATGCACAGCTGCTCCAGATTTTGTCTGCTCCAGTTTTGATAAATCCCCCTCATTTAGTTTTTCTATGCACATGCACAGATCAGCTAATATTCTTGACATGCGCTTACTGGAGAGTTTAATCTTCCTTGCAAGCAAATACAAATTGCTGAAGACTTCAGACCTGGGAGTAAAATAGGAGAAAATGGCAGCGGTGGCAATGGAGTGACCAGGAGAAAACATTTGCGTTGCATCTCTGGAGGAAGGCACTTTAAAAGTGTGCCGTAATGTGCAAATATGCTGCACATACTTACATATTATGGCAAGAGGACTGAGGGACCCATAAGCATTTAGTTCCACTTTAAAATACAGGGAAAATTTTAAAAACTCTTCAATACCACCTAAGGAAATCCTTGTTTGTCACAATTTTAGATCGCAAGTAACAAAGTTATTGCTGAATAATTAGGTCAATTCACTGAAATGTAAAAATGGCTCTGGAGTTTAACCAGTCAAAAACTTGGAGATGTTGCCAACAGCAACCCAACATCTTTTTCCCTAAAAATTCCCCACAGCGGCCCATGTGTTCAGCATGAAATCTGAAAGAGAAAATGTGTACTGTTGTAGTATTTGAGTGTTCTATACCGTTATAGAGAAAAATTGCATGAGTGTGTCATTTACAGTGGAGTGGTGTAGGCTCTGCATTCTTGCCCTAATATTTCTTTCACAAAAGTTTTATTTAGTTTTGCAAAACAGGAGAAAAACATTTTCTAAAGAAAAGTATGTAATGAAACCGAAGGAAATTGCAGTGCCTGGAATAAAACAAGGAGAGAAGAAAAGAGAAGGAGGAAAGAGGTGAGGAGAATACAGGAGTAGAAAGGAAAAGAGAAGACTATAGAACAATAGGATAACTATAAGCAGAAAATCAGGAATTATTGAATAACTACTTGGATGAGGACAATGTGGGGGCGTGAGCTGTAAGAAGCTGAAATGCAGTTGTTGCCAGCCTTCCACTGATGATTTCTTTGCAATGGTGTTGTAGCGCACACATGAAATATCACAAACATTGAAATCACAAAGTGGTTTCAAAAAATAAATAAATAAAACTTAAACATTAAAGAGTATTTTGTTTAGGGAAAGTTTCAACAATGCTGCTGGGGATGCAAATGTGTCCTTACCTTACGGATTTGTTCAAGTGTTCTAAAGACTGTTTGTATTAAAGATGTTTAACAATAAACCAATTTGTATTTTTCGTGTCATCAGCAAACTATCAGCAAGCATGAAATATGAACGGTTCTGCCGTTCAAAGCATCACCTGAACTCCATTCACTGCTACATTTATATTTTACTCTATTTATGGCCTCAAAGAGGAGAAGCAAATTGCAGGTTTTTACATCTGACTCATACACTGAAAATTCACTCTGAGCTATTGTTAAGACTATGCTGAGAATATAATTGTAAGAGCCTTCTATTATCAGAAAGACATTCTGTATCAGGCGAATACTTATTTTTAGCTTGTAGAGTATATATTGTATATGCATTGGTCTGCGATGGAGGAGCTTGAGCTCAGTTTTTAGATGAGGTGTGCAGTTTACTGCCAATCTATGTCCCTCTCCTCAGAAATGGTCAGGAGCTAGAGGCAATGATCAAAACGAGTATGTTACAGTTGAAAGTGACAAAAATAAAGAGACCCTGTTACCAACTTAGACAAAAAATTGTAGTTATAACACTGAAAGTTCAAGCATTTTAATTGCTTAGTTGCATTGTTTTTTGTTTCATAAATGATGTTTATTTACTTGAAATGTGCCTTACAACTTGCTGGAAGATGTGGCTACTCCAGGAGAGTCAATTCAATAATCAAAACAAGCACATTGTGGCTGCAAGTGACAGAAGAAGACCCTGTCACCAATTTAAAAAATTTGAGCTAAGAACACTGATCTTGAAAGTCAAGAATTTTGGTTACTTACTTGCATTGGTTTTTCTTCCCATGCAGTACTTTTTATCAGCGCAGCGTGCTGCGATGTATGCACAACCACATTGTACTGCGTTGTGTCAAATAGAAGTGACTGAAATGTTACTCATGGCATTTCAACAGTTCTTAAAGAAAAAAAAGTAAACCGTGTGAAGTGCTCACATTGGCATATCAGCAATGTGCCTGTCAGTACACACCAGGAGCCATGCATGCAGCATGGCTTGCTAGTGTGAAGGGACCCAAAGGAGTATGGCCTCCAGTGTGGATGAACCATGTCTGATTTTATGGCAAAAACACCTCCACGATAGGTGCCTCGGAATGCAAGAATGTAAGCAAGGCGCCTCTATGGAATACTTTATTAAGCCTCACTCCCAAAGCCTCCAAGCCTGAGGAAAAGTCCTCACAATGAGGGGATACCCTCATTGTATATTCCCATATTTCCTGTGCATCAATGCTACCTGCTTTATATAGTGGACATATAACACTACCAGTTCACTGCCCTTATCTTCAGTCTGTCCACAGCTCAGTAATGCACAAATAAGATACATTTTTGTTAATAGTTAACTTACTTGAATGCATTTTTAAGATTTAACTCCTGAGTTTAGAATCACTTTAAGAATATTGGGAAGGGATAAATATGATGGGAACAAATTAGAATGTCATCAGTATAAGTTGCCAATTTATGTTCCTTATGCCCAATGCATACTCCATGTATATTAGGATTGAGTTTAACCATATACAGGAGGGGTTCCAGAGATGAAACAAATGTGGAAGGCATCGGACAACCCTGTCTCCACTGATTTATGTAAAGGAAAAAAAACGGTGACAGCAAACATTGGTCCTAACTTTGGTTCACTACAGACTTGGATCCAAAATGCTTAATATAATTACAGCTCTTTACTGTCTACCATCAGCAAATGTTGTCATGAGGATTCCCCAGTCCACCTTTTCAAATTATTTTCTTACATCTGGAAATAACAAAAGGGCAGACTTGAAATTCTGGTTCACATAATGTATAATCAATAGGGCCCTCAGCCTTGGTGCATTACGGCTAGCTTCCCTTCTGGTTTTGTATTTTTAATTGAGGAAATAATGACATGATCCTTAATGCTAACACCCATTGCCTTCTCGAATAAAGCTCAAGAGAATTCTGTCCCCGTAATAACTTGTTCAAGCAAAAGACGATTAGATTTTGTAAGTTGAGGTAACTTCACTTTGCAGAGATAGATCTGTTTTCTGTCTCCATGAGAAACATGTTAGCTTCCTTCTGAACATTGAACATTTTTGATAAAAAATCTTTGAACACGTCAGCTATGTCCTTAGAGATGTCCACTCTCCACTTTAAATATTGTTCTATTCTCGGCATCCATTGTATTATTATGGCAGGTGCACTTTACAATTAACATTACAGGTTTTTCATACAATTACATGCTATGTTATGTGGATGAAAAAATAAGTATACAGTAAACTAAGCTTGTTTACAGTGTCATCTAAGGGTCTGCAATGTAATTTCCAAAAAAAAAGCGAATCAAGATAATTTTGCTTTTTATGGGCAATCAGACAACATGCATATTCTAATGTAGTCAAATGTTATAAGTCAGGCTGTCTGATTTTAAATCAGTGCGGAAAGAAACAAGCAGTTAATCAAACTGCAAATCACACTCTAATGGACGAACTACCTATTTTAATGACTCGCTTTTTGGGACAGATTGTGCTCATCATCCTATGTAGAGCTTTAATTTCCATCTTGTAATTGGTATTCAGACAAGTCCTCTTTGACAATTTTATTTTCTCTTATTTTTGTGTTTAGGTTGATTTCACCAGCTTTAACATGCGCTGTTGTGGTAAAACTGCAGCCTTCTGCTGTCAGTGTGAATCACAATACACAGCAGTTTCATGCACAGCAGTATGTAATGGAAAAAATAGGCATGTGAGATGTTATCAACAGTAGATCAGCCAACTGCCAATAATTAGGCTTCTCTATTTAACTAGAAGTAAACTGATAATATAAAGGATGATCACAACATTTTTGAATTTCAGGTAGATATAAAAGGCATACATTATTTTGCTCTGTATTCACATATACATCATAAAATGTACTTTGTACCTAAATTCAACCTTGTATCAGCCTCTCACAGTCTCTGTACAGCAGAGCTCAGACTGCGGAGGAAGAAGCAGCACACGGCACCAGGCAGTTTTAAGGTGTTAAAA